TGGGGGTCGGGGGGGGGGGAGGAAAGAAGAAGAGGAAGATAAGGAGAAGAAGAAGAAGAAGAAGAAGAAGAAGAAGAAGAAGAAGAAGAAGAAGAAGAATCGGGGGGGGGAAGAATAACAAAAGAAAGAGAAGAGAAAAAGAGAAGAACGAAGAGAATCGGAAGAAGAAAAACAAAGAAGAAGATAAGAGGAAGAAAGAAGAAGAAGAAGAAGAAAAGGAAAAAAAAAACAACTGTCCTCGATTACTTATCTGCACGGTGTAACGACATCGACGACGAGGATGGGACGGCACGGCGACGAGGATGAGGAGCACGGCGATGATGACGTGGTGCGACGACGGCGATCGCGACAATGATGGTGATGTTGTGGCACGACCACGACCATCACGACGATGATGCTGATGACGTGGCACGATGGTGACGATCTCGACGATGACGATGATGACGTGGCGACGACGATCTCGCCGCTGACGATGATGACGTGGCACGGCGACGACGAACTCGACGATGACAATGATGACGGCCAGGCGATGATGACAAAACAGGGTGGGTCGGGCGGGTTCGAACCGCTCCGATACCAGTGTAACGAGTGTGAGGCTGAGGGAGCCAGGGAGAGCCGAGGGAGAGGGGAGAGAGAGAGAGAGAGAGAGAGAGAGAGAGAGAGAGAGAGAGAGAGAGAGCACACTCACTCACTCGACACGACTGAGGGACTCGACGGACACAGACACAGTGGCAAAGACACAAAGTSRAAGTCTTGGGTTCCGAATGCCGAAACAGGGGCAAGTCACACTGAGTACGAGTACAGCAGCTGAAAACTGGTCCGAGACTGGTCCCCGTACTGTACGGGGAGCCGGTATAAATACCGGTGATACGTACGGTACTAGGGGCATTTCCGCAAAAGCCCCCGAGGGCAGAACTGAAAAATGTGGTATTTGAAAGTGGCGCCCGAATTGCAGCATGGCGCCAGTTGTCCAAAATCCGACGGTACCAAAGGAGGGGTTTGGGAAAAGAGTGCCAGGCCGAAAACGGGATGCAGCAGAAACAGCAAAAAAATAGACCAGGGATCGAGCCCTGGCGGAGTCCGTAACAGCTGCCACCTGGCTAGATTGTTGATGTGGCGCTGCCACCTGTCTACATTGCATTGCTGATGTGGTGCTGCCACCTGTCTTCATTATTGATGTGGCGCATGCCACGTGTCTCTTCTGCTGACGCGGCACTGGCCACGCTGCCTACATGAGGTGACTGGTTGCGATTAGGAGAAAGATCGGGATCTGTGGACGATTGAGGGACGGGATACTTACCTGAGGCTGACGTCGATATTGTATGCTGCTGGTTGTCTTCATTGTCTCCATGGGAGAGTAGTGCTACGTGGCACTTTGATGTGATCAGCCTGATCAGGACTTATCAGACTTGTTACTGTTTATTGATTGATAACGTGGAGGGAGAGGAAGCCCGGAGAAGGAGTGGGAATGTTTGGGCTATTTATGTGTGGTCAATGATTATCTCTTCCACCCTCTCCTTTGTCTATCCTCCCTCAGGAGTGGGAATGTTTGGGCTATTTTTGTGTGGTCAATGATTATCTCTTCCACCCTCTCCTTTGTCTATCCTCCCTCCACTCTTTTCGAGTATTGGTAACGAGAAACTGTATCAGATATCACTTCGCGTTAACTGGAGAGTTTGTGCAGATCTGAGACTACTTGTACTTTGACACCTGATGAGTATCTTCCAGGCTGGGTTCATTACACCAGGATAAATTGCACTTGTTTATCCAGGCTACCCCCGTAACCTATGTACAGACCCTACTTATTGCAGGTCACAAGGATCGGAGGGCCTTTGGCAGAGCAGCCTTGGATCTGGAGGCCAAACTCCAAATCCAGTCCACTTCCCAAAAGGGAAGCACCTCCCCTTCTAAGAGTCAGAGGAAGAGTAAGGGGAGGTGGCATGCGAGGGAGTCTGAGGAAGACTCTGCAGGCTTTGATCATAGAGGATCGACTCCCTCAGCTGGTCAAGGTGCAGGAAGCTTCCCAGATCAGGCTTTTCTGACTTTGGCTCAGGAACTCTTGACCGCCGTCAAGGGCGCCAATCAGATCCAGAGACAAAGGTCCCCCGCTACTACCGGGTCTGGCAAACGCCCCTGTAGGAAGCAGAAACAGAATCTGCCCAAGTTTGCCAAATGTCCAGCTAACCCAATGGATCCTTCCTCTCTCCCATGGAGGGATTTGCGCATCTCAGATGGGCTGTGGCAAAAGAGGAAGGATGCTGGTGTCTGCCTCAGATGTGCAGGCAGCACTTTGTCGAGTACTGCCCGTCCTGGGGCCACCACCACTCTGGAACCTGAAGCAGTCAGCAATAGACCCTGTTGGCTTAGTCCCCTATCGATGAAAGCAGGGTCAAATTCCAATACGTTTTGTTTTTTGATTGTGCATGTGTGATCAGCCACATTGAGCCTGATCCCTTAAGCTGATCACCTTGACATGCCTGTACATCACCTGTGCTCGAGGAAGAAGTCGCTAAGTTCCGGGAGGATTTCATTTCTCAAACACTGCTGATAAACAGACTGTTGATTGGACTGAATTCACCTTCTTTTGAAGATGAGTCAGCCCCAAGCTTGTTTGTAGTCTGACAAGAATTTCACTGGGGGTCACATTGAACCCTTGTCTGACTAATCCCCTGTGTATGTCTGGAGTTGCACTCGTTGCCTGAGCACGTTTTGTGAACTTACTTTGACCTGCACTCCTTGTTTGGATGGCCTGTGTCTGAGAGGGAGTCTGATTGGTGCAGATCCTACTTAAGATTCTCACACTGTGGCATACTGGGCAGCCACACGGGCCTGCAGGGCCCAACCAGACGGAAATTCATGGCCCTACAGGCCCTGTGTCGTTTCAGCCTAAAAGGCTGAAAACAAGGGCCTACAGGCCCTGTGTCGTTTCAGCCTAAAAGCCTGAAAACGAGGGCCTACAGGCCCTGTGTCGTTTCAGCCTAAAAGCATGAAAACGAGGGCCATTTTCAGGCCCTCATGAAGTCGACCTGCCCTGAAACTTAGGCACCAGACCAGGGTCTTAGCACAAGCCATTTTGGGCCTGTTTTCAAGACGACCTTTGTTTGAACTTCAATGCCAGGGTCTGGCACGTTTTGGCATTGGCAAGAGCAGCCTCCTGGACGGGCCAGCACTATATAAGACTGGCCCGTCCTGCAGGCTGCAGGTAGTCACGAGGTAGTTCATAGGGACTTCCCAGGCACTTCACGTGTAGGAGGCAGGAGGCAGTCGTCAGGATTCGGCAGCAGCACTCTGGAGGAGCGATGCAGTAGTAGTAATAGCGTTAGCAGTAGTCTTCAGCGCTGGGCGCTATTAGGAGCTAGAGTAGCGTTGGGGAAGATAGATGGTTGGCGGAGGCCAGGGAGACTTACCTGTGGCGCCATAGCTCCGGCTTCGTCTTCGATGTACCTGCAACAAGGCGCCACCTTCACAGGTTAGTACCGGA